TTTTTTTTTTTTTTTTTTTTAAAAAGGAACCACCTTTTATTTTTTCACAGCCAAAACAAGACAAAATTAATAGAGCAATTCTTATGTTGCAAAGACCTCAGAAAGATCACAACAGGTCAGGATGTTTTTAACACTATTGATCTGAGATCTCTGGGTTTGTCTTGTGAAACATGCTTGCACACCTATCTACACTAAGCTTGTGTAGCACCACACAATGCACTCAAAAGGATCTCAAGACATCACAAGGTGCCACAGCACCCTGGCCGAGGATTACTTAGCTAGATATTCTTAAATTATTAGCAGGATCTGGAAATGGAACACACAGCATGTCTCTTCCAAGGGATTTCTCTAAGGAATGCAAACTTTAATTAATTAAGGATCTTAGACTGGTTATGCATGTCTACTTAACACCTGAAGAATGCTGCTAGCATAGCCAAGAATCCTAACTAGAGTCAGTTTTAAATTGTAACTAATTTGGAGAAGATGGTTCTTAAGCATCTTCATAGCACGCATCCAAATGGGACTCCAGGCGCAATACTACCAGCAACCATAACAACCACCACCCCACACAAATAAGTGTGCACACATCCTCCCTCCCTCCCTCCTCATTTTACAACCTTAATGGAACAAAAAGATACGGTCAGAGGGAAACTTCTGCTTTGCACTTCATCTTAATATATTTTTAAAGATGGTAAATCAAGCATTTAGGTAGAACGTTTTTAGGATGTTCTAAAACTATGATTTTCATCACCATACTGTACTAGTTCAGCTATCAGGACATATACAGTATTTCCTATTATTTTGGTGTATACAAGTTGGTAAGGTTATAAATGTGTTCAATGTGTATAGTTATTAGGCTTGTACTAGAAGTACTGTGACAAACAAAAACATTTAAGTTTCAAATGTTTTGAGTGCCTCATCTTGACATGTTAACATGAATGAAGTAACAGGCCTTCACTATATCATTGAAAGTAAAAATATTTCTACATCTGGCAGATTTAATATGGAGTGAAATAAATTACAAAAATAAAAACAGTAAATAAACTAATGCTACATTCAAAATTTCAAATGTTAAAATATTTACTTACTTGGGCTGCGTACTCAACTTTATAACAGTCTTGTGTGGCAGAGAATCTTGTGAGGACTGAACATCATCCTACAGAAGAAAATATTTTATTTTATTTTGTTTTGGTTTTGACCAAATTAATCAAATTAAATCATACATTTTGGTTTTGGACAAATCAACATTTATAAAAATGCAATGTCAACATCACTAATAGATAGAAATCTAGTCTGCCACACACACTCAAGCACACACATGCACATGCACTAGATTGTTTAAATATAGAAATATATCAGTCCCCTCCTCCACCTACCCCCTGCTAGAAAATTATTTCTTCAAATCTTGTATACCTGCTGGACCAGAAAACTGAAGAGAAAAATCTATCTGGTTATATTATGCATTATATAACACAACCACACAGATTTGACAGAGGAAACAAAAAAACATATACTGTATTGTTTCACATACAATACCCTTCTAAATTAAACAAACACCTTGCATTTGAAAGGCAGACAAAAGAAAAAAGATCTTTCCTTGAAAATGCTGATGAGTACAGTGTTTTCCAGGGAAAATACAGGTAACTGCAATAGTGGGGTAAGCAAATACTGTGGCCGCTCTGTTAACCCCTGGCTGCAAGTTGTCATATGTACTGATGGCTAACCCAAAATGTCCGACTCTTCTCTTCTTAAGCTTAGCTGAGTGGGCAGCCAGAAACACCTGCCAGGTTAACTGAAGGCCCAATCCTAGTCAACAGCACCTAAAGAGTCAGGGAAGGGCCCACCTACCTAATTCAAGAGGAGCAGCCTGAGCTGCAGAACCTATTACCATATTTCCTTGCTTAAAACACCCTCCCCCAATTTCCAGCAGCTGATTTTTGCAGAAAAGGTGCACGTTTTATGTGAGAAAATACAGTACTCATCCATCCAATTACCAAGCTATAGTGTTTTTCTTCATCTGAATTCACTATGAACTACTCTACTCTAGCAGCACAACAGCAAAGATGAAAAATATTTGTATCAGGAGTGTGAAATATATGGCCCATGAGCTGGGTAGAGCCTGAGGATGTGGGTCACCTAACCATTTATCTTTTCCTGACATTTCTTTTTGGGATTCTCCACACTCTCTACATGCTTAACATGAAAGAAGAATAGATGGAGAATCGTTCTCTTTCATTACTGGAAATGCAACAATAGTCTTCTCAGAGTGACTCAGATCACCCCAGAATGTGCCCATTTTTTTTCTTCCATCTTTCTCTCTCTCTTCTCAGTTTCCTCCTCCTACTTTTTTGTGTTAGGGCTTCCTGATAAGCTTGGCTTGTCTCTGTTAGCCCTCCCTACTTTTTCCTATTCCCAGCTTTTCTCTATCCCTTGCAGATGTAGCTAGGAAGGAAAACACCAGAGAGTTTACAATAATATAACCAATTTTTTTCTGGAAAGAAGAATGTTGTAATGTGAATATTTCAAGAACTAGCTAAGTGTGACACCTAAGTGGCAGCAGGCTGTTGTACACAAGTAAAGGTCATGAACAAGAGTAAAAACTGTAAGTGTAAGGAAACACTGTAAAAAAACAGCAGTCGGAATAAAGAGCTTCCCAACACAACAGTGATGTTATTTTTTACATAACACATGTGCATGTCTGTAACATCATTAATCTGTTGCAAAATAAGCAAGTGTTGTATCTCATATATTTGTGTTACCTGTAAGCCAGATACCATGTTTGTGAAGCAAAAAGTAGATAAATGTTTTTCAAAAGAAATGGAAGCTTTCATGCTTCTTCATAAGAGTGAATGAAAAGCCTGTGTATTTGACTGTAAGCAAGCAGTGGCTGTTTCCAAGGAACACAATGCTAAGAGACATAATGAGTCATACCCTGGCGTCAAGTATGACAAATTTACCAGGAAGCTGAATGAAAACAAACTGAGTGAATTAGAGCAGTTGGAAAATCGAAAATGGATCTCCACACAAACACCGTCAAGTGACGGAGCAGCAAGAACTCTCTCATTTCTCCAGAAATAGCTGTTTCTCCAAAGATTTTTGCTGAGGGAGGGTTAAAGGACAGGATCTGCATGAACAGAATTTCTCAACAATGAGGATCAACAAACCAAAACTATGCTCAAGATTCAGTGACAAACACTTGAACCTTTTCCTGGAAGTGGCCTTGCAGCAAAGTAGTGCCATGAATCTGAGAACAGTATCGACCGTTTGTGAGATATTAGTGCATGTAAAAGACTTCCTTTGATTTGAATACATTTTACGTTCTTATTTTTCCTTATAAAACCTGTAGCAAACACTTTATGAAAATAAATCCATTTTTTCCACACATTTGGAGGCCTGACTGTAACAAACATGTATATGTGAACAAATTTTAAAACTGATATATGCTGAAGAGACTGGTATTGATGTGCAAAAAACAACTTATCAAAGTATAAACTGAGCTGAACAAACAACAGATTTTGGTAAAGATATATGGGTGTGGCCTGCAGGCACCTGCAAAACAGGGACCAATTTGAGCTTGATATTCCTGATTTAGAGGTAAACCTTCAAAACATGCAAGATGAACAGTTTTTCAAAAGCATGGTCTTGGTTATTGAGAAGACTAGTATAATCCAGGAACAATTAAAATATGTTTCACAGACTTTTAAAAATGCATTTATTGCCTTGACTCCAAAAACTCTTAATGCAGGTGTGCATTAAACTTTCCTCTACTAAGGGTTTTATTATACTCTTGTGATCCATGTTACCCCAGAATGGCCATACTCTACATATTAAATACTCTGAATAATTAAAGCAAAGTCCTGATACTTTGTGTATTCACTAAGAAGCATCATGTTTTCCTATTTTCTAAGACAGTCCATGAAAATAACTTATCTGAAAGAGGAAGTACTGTACATGCTAAGTTTCCTCTTGCCAATCATTATGGGATCACTTGTGGCAGTATCCTCAGCTTCCTGTATCCTAAAATGTCTTTCCAGGACTTGGATCTATCAGAATTGATGACTCCTCCTCTACTATCAATCTTTTTCCTCACGTTTTGATATAATTGCTGTTTCTTTCCATGTTTCACTTCCCTCCACTCTTGACTTCTTATTCCATCACAAGAGCTACACATACATGTTCATATTATCTAGGAGAATCCTCCTATGGCAGGGTTCCGCTAGAAAAATTTACTCAGAGACCCTTGAACAGAAGTTCAAATGCTGAGCCCCTATGCAGCCAGGGGTGCTCCTGTGCACACATCTAAGACATCCACATAATAGATGACAGCAATGCACAGAGCTGCCCTGACTGACCGACTCAGGCTGCCTTTGCAGCACAAGGTGGGGGTGTGAAGGGGTTCCCTGCTTGGCTGGAACAGCACAGTGCAGCCTGAGTGACACACTGTCTCCTTGGACCCATGGTAGGGGTTGGGAGCAAAGCATGCTGGAAAACCAGAGGACTGTGCTGCAGCTTCTCTCAAAATGTAGGTGTACATAAGTTAGGTCTCCTGAGAGAAAGTCCCAGAAGCCACTTAAATCTGGTTCTTCTTGAGATATTTTTCTTCTGGAGCAGCCATTTTTGCTGTGGCAGAAAATCACGAGTGTCTTAACACTTGCAGTTTCAGCTGGAGGAACAGTGACTCTTCTAACAGAAAAAGAATGCCTCTGTGGGGCCAAGGTCTACCTTCCCAATTTTCAGTCCTGGTTCATATCCACCATTTGTCTCCTCCACTGTACCTCTATAGAGATGATTAACAGTTCTACTCTACTAAGGGCTTGTTATGAGGATGAAGTCTCAGTTGAAGATGATGACACCTTGACTGACACCTAAAAAAGAGGTAGCAGGAAAAACAATAAAACTATGAACTCGACTTCCACTGAAGATGCCCGAGAGATGCCAAGATTTCAGTTCCCGTTACTTAGAGGCTGGAAGTTATTAAAGATATTTAGGACCACTATGACAATAACATTGTGGAAGCAAACATGAGTGCAAAAAATATTTCAAAGTGTTACTGATGCACTGATCTAAGGTTGCAGAAACACTTCAATATACCAAATCCAATTGCATAGCTACACAAACACATGCACAAAGGTAAATGATTAACTCACACACTTATGCACAAAGGCACAGAGCTAAGCTGCATACAACTTTACATGCATTCTTTCCTAGCTTTTGAGTGTTTAACCAGGCATTCAAAAATATTTCTAACGCAAGGGTTTTTAAATATAAAAAAGTATCATATGTTTAACGAGACAAACTCATTTTGGCTTATTTGTGTCTATTCCTTCACTGTCTCCCTCTTTTTAAGAAACCTCCAAAAATGGCGAGTGGAAATTCTATGTTTATTTTTCCTCTATTGATCACTGGGTCAAATTATCTCAGTTTATAAATAAAGATTTATACACAGATCTATAAATATTAGATATATATCTTAGTCTTTCAAATCCTTCCTTAGCTCAGATATTCAGTATGGGCTCTCTCTTTTCCTGCCATATTATTACCATAACTAATAATGATCTTCAGGTTAGATTAGGCCCACAGTTATGCTAGCACAACCTCTATATTATCAAAAAAATTGTATAAGCTAGAGATACAGATAACTTGATTTTAGTAAACAATTCTGTTGACCCACAAAGTGAAATAACCGGTCACTTACTTTTTAGCTGTGTTGGTTCTGCATGGTTAACTGCAAAAAGTAGTAAAAATTATCTGTTGCCACTATCAATAGCTATAGATATAAATAAATATAGCCATTAATTGTACTGTTAGAAGGAAGGGGATGATCTTTTCAATCACTTTTTAAAGTAGAAATCACTTCAAACTAAGTTTCCCCACACCATTCACACACTGCCTAAAAAAGAAAAAAGAAAGAATTTCTTCCACTTTAAAAAAAATAAGGAAAAAGAACAACTCACCATCTTAAGGAATGGAGTTGATGGATTGTAGTTATAAGTATCTTTGTCCTTTAGGATAAGAACATGGGCAGAGTCAACTATCACCTTCTTCAAATTCATTAATGAATGGAAAAGCCTGTCAATAGAATTTTCAAATGTTACTTTTTTCAGAGTTTATGAGAAGCCACAATGAGAACCTTGTAAGAAGGCAGATAAAAAAATGTATAACCACTAAAAATGTTATTTCAACTAAGATTGTTTGGTTGCTTTTGAAGTTGGGCTTGTGAAAGACGGAACCAGAAGAAGTCACACAGGGAGAAAGGACTAGATTTCCAAAAAAAAAGTCAAGTTATTTTGGAGCCAAAAGTAAGTAATCTTGAAAGAGTCCAATATAGTGCTAGGCAATCATATCCTAAAAATGAGATATTTACCCCTCACTTTGTTAAGTATGATTTGGGATGCCTGAAAAATTAACTCATTTCAAGTGACCAGTAATTCTTCAAAATGTAGATATTTGACAATGAATAATATTGAATAAAATGAGTATAAGTCAACATAAGCACACCTGAGCTGAAATATCTGGAAATTAGGATAAAGTACTAAAAATACCTACTACTAGCTCACTGATATTGAGAAACTAATAAAATATGTTATGCTGCACTTAAGTTATCCAATATTGATATTTCAATTACTTTATCCAACATATGGCTTATGAATATTTAATATTTTTCAACCTTATAAAAAACAAACTTTTTATACTACAGGAAAAGGAAAATTCTTCACACATTTAATTCTGCAGAAATGATCTGCAGCTATTTTACACAAAACTATATGCTTTGACAGATTTAGTTAAAACATGGTCCCTGATAAGTCTTCATTAATCAAGAATTAAGTTTATAAATATATATCAAGAAGTCTCACAGATAACACACTTACACTAAATGTTACTCAGATGCCTATTTCCAAAACTTAAATGCACAGACATTTCCTAATTCAAGCAAAATTAAAATCTAACCTTTTTTTACACTATTTAACTAAACTAACAGAAAACTACATTCCCACCCTGTCACCAGAATATGCAACTTCCCAGTGCAAACTATCTGCCCATAAACATGAAGCTTCTTACCTAATACCACTGTTCCTTTAGATGATGGTTGTCTAGATTTTTAGTTACTATATTATGAGAACCCCACCCCCCCACCAAGAAATCAGCTACATGTTACTGTAGGCTGTAAACAAACGTCACATTTGATGTGTTCTGATTATCTGGGGGTTTAACCAGGATGAAACCAGAAGTGGCACAGCCATTAACTTGAATGACCCACAATTAATTTAGAGGCATAGAGCTGAATGAAAAAGTTTGGATTTAAACTTAATTGCTGAACAATAAGAGTTCTATACCTCTCTGCCTTTCTGCCATCTGACACCACCAGCGAAAGAATCCTGCCTTACCTGCACATCAAAGAGCAACTCACAAAGACACTTTCATAGACCCAGAGGATTAGACTTCCACCTTCAGCTTCCTCTGTGCAAAAATTAAGCTTATTTTCTGCCTATAGGGGACTTTTTACCATCCTTTTCCTTGAGCCTGAGGAAGGGTGTTTGCACCTGAAAGCTTGCAGAAAGAGATACTTTTCTGCCGTTTCTTAGTTGGTCTAATAAAAGGTAGCATCTTTGAACCAAGAGTTCTAGAGTTTTGCATTTCGGCTTGATAAGAGGACTTTTCCAGCTATTTAAGTTGGTCTAATAAAAGAAACTGGATTTACTCAAAGAACCTGTGTCTGCCTATGTCCTTAGACAAACAGGGCTACACCTCTGTTAGCATGTCTCAAATACTTCACAGGTACTTAAAGCAGGATAATGGACTTGCCTGAATCTGGGATCCCAGGACAAAAGACTTCCTCCTACAAGAAATACAATGCCTGTTTACAGCATAGGAATCATCTGTTTATTGCATAAGATTTGGGGGGGGTTTTAAAACAGGTGCATGCCTCACACCTCCCATTCTCCCTCTCCTGTTCACACTCTTTATTCCATAATCCTACTAGTTCACTGTAATCCATCTGTACACACTCCCCAGACTCAAAAATCCAAATCACATGCAACTATCCATTCTCTTCACCTCCACAGTTCATGACTCCGCTGCAATCTCCTTTTCCCTGGTCCTTCAAATCCCTGCCATAAAAAAGTTTTAAATCACAAGGAGGTAGCTTCCTAGTTTGATGAAACTGGAAAAGATTCCTTAGAAAGTAGAGGTATGCTTGCATGGGGGGGGGGAAATCAGCAGACTTTCCCAGGGTTTGCCAAAGCAACTTTGCTCACCCCAGAGCTGTGAAAGTAGAGCACCTTCTAGTGAACCTGAACAAATACACAGGAATCTGAAGAAAAGAACAGTACACTAAACAGACACATAAAGGAAGCTAACAAAGCGGACTGGATAGGTGGTATTTATGAAGGTGGGAAGTGTACGACAGAACCAGATATCACATAGGTTCAGTTCTTATACCTCAGTTTTTCTCCTCCTAAGATGAGATTAGTTTTATTACTTTAGACATAGCCAGCTTCTTTTTCAAAAACAAAAATAGTTATGATAAAGTACATTACTGGGTTTAATTTTATTCTGTTTTAATAAAAATAGTTAAAGAGTTTGTCTAAAGATACAGAGCCTAAAATTTGAAGTCTTACATCCTAGTCATCTGCTAGCTAGACAAGGTAAAGACTAAAAAGTATTCTAATAGTTATTTTCAACTACATTAAACTCCTAAACCACCAAAGAGATTCACTTATACTTTCCTTGAAGATTAAGACTTCACCTTAATAAGATGCAAATTTGGTTCTAATGTACTGTATTTACTCACATTGATTTGGGCCTTCAAGAGGCCAATTCTACACTCATCTTTTCCCCAAAAATTAACGTTTCAAAATTGGGGTGTACGACTTAAATGGTGAAGCTGATTTTCTATTCAAAATGGAAGCATGGAGACACTGTAAGATGGCAGCTGTATGAAGGAAGAGGTGCAGTCCAACAGATGTAGACCCAGGGGGAGAAGTACTGGAGTGGTTGGAGTTTGTTATAAACTTTAGGTGGAGCATGGTTCAAAGCTATCTGACCAAGTGCAAGAGTGGCATTTCTAGTCAGGCACTGCTGAGAGAGTCAATTGACTTCATGGTTTATTATACTGTAACTCAGAGGTTCCCAAACATTCTCTCATGATGTACCTCCTTTCCAGATTTGCCAGCTGCTCATGTACCCCTACCACCATATTTTATATTTTAACCCTATAAAGGCCAATTGTTATTATAATGAAAATTAAATCCACCATTTCTCCCACGTACTCCCCAGATACGTCTTACATACCCTCAGCAGTATGTGTATCACAATTTTGCAACCCCTGATCTACTTGATTCCTGCCAATTGTTCTTTATTCCACAGATACTAACAATCCTGTCTCCTTTTAATGGTCTTGAAAAAGGACCATGCAAAAGGTTCTTATTTAAGCTATCCTTTCCTTGGCAATGTTGCTGCCTCTACTCTACTTAGCTACTCCTGGTCTCTCTTCTCCCATTTCACAGTTTTGCAGACAATGTTTGGCTTTTTTTCAAAAACTTAGATTCACCCATGGAGTCCAGTCTTCAGCAGCTGCTACAGTTCTAGTTTTTGGCTGAGTAGCTAAGAGCAGGTGACAATTCAGCTGGGAAAGGGTTCCTGAACAGGAAAGAACAGATGGATGAACTGAGGACTGAGCTTTATCCCTGCTTTATGTAGCTATTGCTATGGAAAAATCTTTTACCTTCATTCTGCCCCCCCCTACCCCAAAGGTGTCTGTTTTATTTGGGTATGTGTGGTATATGAGAAAATACAGTACCTGTTCCACACATTGGGAAGAGATTAATTTCTACAAGAACAACAAAGCTATACATTATATAGTTTAAACACCAATTAATAACCTAAAGATAACTACTGTCAACTTCATAATTAAAGGAAACACAAATTTTGATGTAAAACACCACCAACATCTTAAGAGCAATAACTGTTTCTCAAGGTTTTGAAAATAAAAAGTGAAACTCAAGAATCAAGAAATCATTGGAAAAACTAATGCTAAATATAATAAGTATGAGCTGCCACCTTCTGCTCTGTTCAAGGACCCTACTGCAGCCACTGCAGTGCTGGTACCAGTGCAGCTGCTCCTGCAGCAGCAAAGAGGGCTGCTGCTAACATGGGCAACAATGGAAACATCTGCAGTCCCTGCAAGGGCAACATTAGAGTAGGTGGCTACTACTACTGGCACCAGAGTCACAGAGATAGCTAGTCTCAGCAGGAATAACAGCGGAGAAGACCACCTCTGCTGCTGCCATGGCATTTGGCACTGGGTTAGGGCCAGGGGCAGCCAGCAGCCCCCAGAGGCTAGCAAGCTACTAGTCCCTCTTCTTCTTCAGGGGAAAGGGCAGGCTGTCAGTGACGGGGCTCACTGATAAGTCCTGTAAGGGGGAAGGGAGAAGCAAAGGAACAGCTTTCTATCACCTACTGAATAGAAAGCATACCTTTGCAATTATCTTCTGCTCCAGTGAGGTGCCTCCAAATCTGTCTAGGCCCCATGGCGCTCTAATTTTTGTTAGTGCTACAAATGAGCTAGTGTCCAGGCCCAAAGATTATATTCTACCTTCAAAAGAGACTTTTGCAGACAGCTAGAAGCCCTTTTAGAAAGAGGAAAAAGTTGAAAATGTATTCAATTTTATTTTGTTCAACGAATCACACTGAAAAGAGAACCAAGAATAGTACCTTGTAGAAGTAAGTGCCCTACTGGAATAGGCAATCAGGACTCATAGTAGAGATGATATCTTTTAATTAGACCAAAACAATTCTTTAATTGCAAGCTTTTGGGTACAAACACCCTTCATCAGGCATTGGAGAAAAGATTGTAAAAGTTCTCCTGGGTAGAAATGAAAGTTCATGTTTCATAGGATTTCACAGAGGAGTCAATAGATGCAAAACTCCTCTGGGCAGTCGGTTCATAGCTGGCATGGTTTTCCCCCTATGAGTTGTTCACTGATTGGCAGCTGTGAGTACTATTATGATTGGTTTTGTGTTT